CTGCCCCTCCGTGCAGTCATTTAGGGTCCTGTTGTCCGGGTGGGCCTTTCACTGCTGGAGCGCTCTTAGATGTGCGTTACTGAGTCTTGTGCGTTCGTTTGCAGGGATGACACGATCGCTCTCAAGATCATCAAGAACGTTGAGAAGTACCGGGAAGCCGCCAAACTTGAGATCAACGTTCTGGAAAAGCTCAACGAGAAAGACCCGCAGGGTAAAAAGTAAGTTGGGCGAAGTGACGTTCGTGCAATTTGCTCGTGCAACGCTCATGCGTTAAGTAATTAGTAAAACACAATTGACACTGACTTCGGTGGGGTGCTGAGAGGTGTAACGATCCAACGGCCATTTACATAAGCCGGGCTCATTTAATGGCGTCACGAGTCGACACTAGACCGTGCGCGAGTCGTGACTCGGAGTCAGTACGGCGACTCCGGTCGTGGTAGCGTGCTCCGTGCGCGTGGTGTGTGTTTGTGTGTTAGTTAACAAAGACGGCACGGGTGCTTTGTTCTTGGCTGGAGTCAAAACACAATTCTCCGGCGGCAGTGCGAGTAATCTCGGTCCGATCAGGCGTCTGGTGCCATCCCAGCGGAGGCGGGCGTCCATTTAGTGCCCTTGGCGGACACGAAATGGCCAGGAAGCGACCCGCGCGCCTCTCCAGCCTTGAGCCGAGCGGCGGCAAAAAAGTCGCGCAATCGAACTCGTAAAAGCCGTTTACGGAAGTGGGATGGACGTGCCTGCACTGCGGCGGTCGGCCGGCAGCGCTCGCGGCGGTCCGATATCGTGTGACAGCGACAGCGGACGGCTGTCAGAGTCCCGTGTGCACGGAGTCGACCCGAGACCTCCCTCTGCCGGCGAGACCGGCGGGATAGCCAGGGCAGCTCAGCGAGAAAGGTCTGGGCGGGTCCTCTCCTATCCACTTTATGTCTGGTTAAACAATGGTCCGTAGGTTTTTATCGAGTCTACTCGCTGTTAACGGACCGGTCCGTGCAGCTACAGTCGACACCAAGTCTATCGTGTGTGTTTAATTTGATTGGTTTCCGCGCTGTTGCCCGTATGATGGGCGATCGAACTAACGACGATGTCCTTTGTTTCTTCGCAGCCTTTGCGTGCAGATGCTGGACTGGTTCGACTACCACGGACACATCTGTATCGCCTTCGAGATGCTCGGTCTCAGCGTGTTCGACTTCCTGGTGAGTGTCGTCAGTCGTCACCATGACACGCCCGACACATCTGACAAAGCTGACAGATATGCAAGACACCCAACACAGCTCACATCGAGTCGAGTCGGCGACGCCCATTCTCAGACAAACCGGAAACTTATCAGCAATCGACGCCCAGCAGCTGGCGCTTATTTCCATAGCACGATTAGCGTCGGAGGATTTAATTTGAATTCAAACGTACTCATGTTACCGCTAGAGACTTGAAGCCACCTCGAAGCCGACTTGAACTGTATGCGTGTCCACAAAGACAATAAGTTGCGTGCGTACTGCTTATCGTTCAGTTCAGGCTGTGAATTCTTACCGACAAAAGAACATCTTGAAACTGGAGGTCGCGATGGTTATCGGCGGGGCGCTACAATGCACTTGTCCCATTTACCGCGCGCTCCAAGGCCGGTCCCGCGTGACGCGCCGCGCCGCTCCTCCGCTGACTCTCCCCTCCCCTCGCCCCGCAGAAGGAGAACAACTACCAGCCATACCCGCTGGATCAGGTGCGTCACATCGGCTACCAGCTCTGCCACTCGGTCAGCTTCATGCACGCCACCAAGCTGACACACACCGACCTGAAGCCCGAGAACATCCTGTTCGTCAGCTCCGACTACGACATCGAGTACAACCCCAAAAAGGTATGTGACGACGTGGCGTAAAATATCTCCGGACGCAACGTTTATTGCGCACCGGTTACCAAATACCGTTCGGAATAGTTGGCGATAGTTGTCAAATTTATTACGTTCGAAGTTACGAAGGTCATTCTCAAGTTGGCATAACGCAGCTGTTATCAAGTCGTTCATACGCTCTGTCTAAATGATTAGTTTCTGTTTCTTGGGATTGTGTTCTCCCGAGTCGGTCAGAAGGGCAGGCGAGCAGACGGCCCGACAGACAGAGCAGGGCCACTGCTCACGTAAACACTGTTTTGCCGACAACAAAACAGGGGCGCGGCCATTGTTCCTTGTGCAGCGCCGCGAGACGAATGAATTGCACGTTAGTTAGTCTCGCTTACGTGGACGCTGTCGGACGCAGCTTCCATTCTTTGTGCTCGCCAACAACAAATCAACATTTTCGCCAAGGTCGCCGAGCAAACGTTTTGAATACAAACCCTCGTAACTTTGAGACCAGCAGGTTATACTCCTGAAGGAGACTTGGAGCCACGTTTCTTCCGCCTAGGCTCACCAATGCATGCGCTAGGTCGAATGCTAGCTTTGTTTCCCACTAGAGGTGGCAAAATGTGGACCCGAGGACCCGGTCCAAAGAACCAGTCTGGACCCATATGGGTCCAGACCGGTTCCTGGGAATTTTCTGACGGGTCCAACTGGGTCCTACCATAAACTATATATCTTGCACACTACACATTATTGCAAAATATGAAGTGAATGAAGTGAATGTTTCTTTACACACAGTAGCTCATGAGCATTCCCAGTGGAAAAAAGGTTGTTTTACATTATGCCACTTATGATACCTACCTACAAATAAAACAACCTGCGGTTATTTGTATTAATTGACTTTTGGGGAACGGGTCCAAATGGTTCCGATTCCAACTTAGACCGGGTCCAACTGGTTCCACAAATGTCCAGTCGGGTCTGGTTCGAGTCTGGTTCCCAAAATTTTCATCTTTTGCCACCTCTATTTCCCACCGTAGGATGGCGAGTGTTCACAGTAGCACCCTGCTGTGCACAGCATATAAGTACAGGTCCCGCGAGATTAAGCGGTAGGTTTTGCACTTTACATTTCCGGTTATATCTCAGAAACTAATCGATCTACGATGAAGCCATTTTACACGATCATGGCCGGCTTGTTACCCAACAAGTCGATCGCATCTTCAACACTTAAAAGCTTAAGACGACGAAGATATAGCCTGAAGTACACTAAATTTTCTAGGTGCAAAACCTACCGCTAAAACCCGCGAGACCTGTACATGCTGGCCATTAGTGATCCGAACATCACATGACCCACGGTGGACCGGCCGAACCGACCGAAGCGATCCTGGCGGCGAGAGAGCAAAGCGTGGCCTCTCAGTTTGGAGTCTGCTGGATAAATACTGATGAGAAATGAAGAGCCGACCATGGTGTAGACCCCTTAACGACGTCCACATAATCGGTAGACATGATACGTGGTAGGTCGGTAGCTTAGTCTACATGTGGTTGCTTCAGACCTGGCCTTATAATACAGTGTGTTGACCGGGGTATTTAGGTATCCTTTTGTATGATACCATGTATGTATTACTGACAGAATGTCTATCGCCTGTGTTCACAGAAGCGGGACCTGCGCGTGGTCAAGGATTCAGAGATCCGTCTGATTGATTTCGGGAGTGCCACCTTCGACCACGAGCACCACAGTACAGTGGTGTCGACTCGCCACTACCGGGCGCCCGAGGTGCTGCTTGGTGAGTACCCTTCCCTGAGGATGACCTCTGTGACCCACGTGATCCCTGACCGGGCTCCATCTCAGGGCTGGGTCATCTCCGGCACCCCGCAACACGGCGCTGTTAGACAAGCGTCGGCTATCGTGTGGAAGTAGAGGAGAGGCGATTGGAACACAGGCTTGAAGTGGACAGTTGCTTCTGTAGATCAGTTTCATAGCCGCTGACGACAAGACAGATCAGTGAGCTCACGGATGGCACTGATAGCACAAAGTCAACACGGCGATTTCGGAGTGATCGCGATAGTCAATCCAGCCAGGAGCTCTCGAATCTACTCACTGCTCGCTGTTTTATCGTGTGATTCATTCAGTAAACGATGTCTTATCTGGCACTTACATCGACTGAGTCATTTTATGTGAGCAAGTTGTCTGCAATGTATTATGAGTAATCGTGCCTACACATTTGATGCAAGAGAAATTTTGAAGACTTTCACTGTCATAATTGACAGATTAACACTGCGCTTGTTTCTGATGAGGATTGCTCAAGAGACTCAAGGGGAATTAAAACTGACGGAGAGCTCGTGAACGGCGTAAAAGACTGTGTCGACCATAATCGCCACCTCAGCGCGGCTCGATTATGACGTAAATGGGCGCAAAATGACCTAAGTAGTCGGCGCGCCCTAAAGCCCCAATTAACAAACAAACAAGATTATGACGTAAATTAGACAAACCACCGGCTAATGAGCCCTGCGGAGAGAGCTGGTGCAGGAGATCGTCTCTCACACTGCCTCCAGCCCTCACGACACGCGGTGGCCCGAGGAGAGCACCCAAACACTGTCGTGCACCCGTCGGCGGCTGCATGCCGAGCCTCACGCGTGAGAGAAAGCCCTCGGTGCGGCGGGTCGGCTGACGGGGCGACTTTTCCGCACCGTAGTATCGACTGAGGGGAGGCCGGCGCTATGCCGCTAATGATGGACAGTGCGATGCGCGGTGCTGGTCTGCAGGGTCGGATCGGACCACTCCCTGCCCCCGAGGCGCAGATACCGTTTCACTGGGACGCCACCCGCGCCGTCACCCCACCTTAGATCGGTTGGGCTGGTTGCTCGGCCCTGGTCCTGGTCCGGGCAGCGGAATTCACGAAAGTCAGTCTTGAATCACGATCGGGTCACTCAATGCGAATCCCTACTCAACAGCGAAATATAGATTTCCAGACGCCATAGTTAACACTTTTTGTACATTAGTCTACTTTGACATATTTGCGCCAGGCAGCTATCAGTGTGGATTCCTACTGTCTGTTCTGGCCAGTCCCTAGGAACATGCCGCCGCCACATCCCTCAATATCATACCAGAACGTCCCGCCGCTGACCGCCCAAGTTCTGCTCGAACCGCGGCTCCCGGTCGGTCCCGGCTATCGGTGGGACGTCCGCCGGAACGGCACCGACACGTGTTTTCCTCCGGCGGCCGCGGGCGACGTCACGTGATCCACTGTGACGGTCCTGCTACAGAGAACGGCGACATCACGTGACTGCGGTGGTCAGTGACTGTGCTAGTCACGTGGCCTTCGGAGCCGTTATCGCCTGTGTCGCCGGCGGCGCTGCACATTGTCTAAGACTACTCAGTAGTGTGTGCAGTGTCGATCGGAGGACACAGCGACGACTCGCCATGGACGGTGCCAACATCGTGGAGCGCATGAAGCAGCGCTTCGAGCAGCTGGACCACCGCGCTGCTGAGGAGCAGATACCACCGTCCCGTAACCGGCTCGGTCATCCGCAGCACGGGCAACAGCACGATCAGCATCGCCAACAGCACAGCCAGCAGCGTCAGCCGGCTGTGCTGGGCTCTAGAGGCCTCACCAAGCCGCCACCACCGCCCGTGCCACAGACGAAGGGAGTCTTCAGGCCTGTGAAACCTACTGAGGCGCCCCCTTCAAAGTCTGTGCCTGTACCGCCGCGGTCTCCGGTGCCTGCAAGGTCTCCTGCACTGGGCCACGTGCCCATACCTTCGCGGTCGCCGGTGCATACAAGATCTCCGGTTGCAGGTCATGTGGCTGCTCCTTCGCGGTCCCCGGTACCTCCAAGGTCGCCTGTACCTCCAAGATCCCCTGTAGCTCCAAGGTCCCCTGTACCTTCAAGGTCTCCGGTACCTTCAAGGTCTCCAGTGCCGCCCTCTGTGCCGGTTCATGTGAATACCTCCACTCTTGAGCCACAGAACATATACAACGAGCCCACCGAGGAAGGGACTGAACCTCACGACATGCCAGAAATGACCACATCGGTTGGAGTTGCGACCCAGCACACTGTGCATGAGCCGGATGAAGACATATATTGTGTTCCAGCGGAGGAAATCGGAGGGGAATATGCGAACTCGTTTGCCCAGCCTGATGGGCAGCCCGGATACGTTGGAGCGGCAGATGAGTTCTTCTCAGATTCAGAGGAGTGGACGGATTACAGTGACGACTTCGAAGAGGAGCCTGTTCCAGAGCCGCAGCCACATCAGCAGCAGCTCGCTCCCGAGCCGCCACCGCCTCCTTCCTCCTTGCCACCACTGCCGCCGTCCCGGGCACCTCCGTCCGGTCTGGGGGCTCCTCCCCTATTACCGGGACGGCTACCACCCGCCAGTATCGCCTCTAGGCCACTTCCGCCGCCACCAGTATCTCCACCACTGAAACCGCCTTCACCACCCCTGCGGCCGCCAGCATCCGCCACCAACCAGCCAGGGACTCCTCCAGCTCTAACAATCAGCTCGCACGGCTGGTTCCACCCAGTCGACCGAGCCGCCGCGAGGACCCTGCTCGAGCACGCTGGCGACGGGTCGTTCCTGGTGCGTCCCACCCGACGTGGCGGTGCAACGACGCCTTACGCCCTGACGCTGCGTCACGCTGGACGGGAAGTGAACCTGATCGTACGCCAGAGACCGGACGGGCGGTACGCACTGGGCTCAGAGAAACCAGAGGAAGTCAGCTTCGGCTCTGTGGAGGAGATGATTGGGCACCATCAGAGGGAGCCCCTGGCTCTGGCCGACGGGTCGCTCGTTTGCCTCGGTCGGTACCCGGGCCAAGAGTGACCTGCGCGGGCCAGGGTGACCTGCGAGACGTCTGGTGGCCGTCGCGCGAACTGAAGTCCGGAAAGGAATGCCCGCAGTGTGTGTGATAGGAATCGAGTGCTGCGAATGTAGAGTGCTGATGAAACGATAGACAGCTTGGTTTTGTCGCGTGATGGTGACTGCACTGTGCAAGACTGGATATGCGTGTGTGAACGTGTGAGGCGAAGCTGAGAGTTTGCACACAACCGAAGGCTGTGAAAAAGTCTGCATTGTTCTTGTTCGGAATAACAAGTCAGTAAAAGGTGACTGCTACAAACAAGGACGCTTAATAAGATTTACTGCGCTTTGTGCAGTGATTATAGCGGACTCTTCTCCATATTTGGTCGTGCCGTGAGCCGGTTGCCGTTATAGCGCTGCCGGACGTTGGTCCGTCTGTTCACCCCTCCCAGACTGTCTTACCGGATCTTACACAAACGTTCGTCCGTGTTGCTTGTTTAACGGCGGACCCTGACATCGCATGACCGCGCCGTCCCAGAGCTCCCAGCCAGGTTAGCGATGAGCACCGATGACCAAGTGCTGATATCATTAATACCAGCGGCTAGATTTGACCTGCAGCGCCGGCGACCGCCACAGACGATGTGCTTCTTTACCCTTTTTTAGATGAACTGCACTAATTTCCTTCGTCGGCAAAACAGCACGAAACATAATTTGCAGGGATTCGATATAACTCGTAGTGATCATGTTCGTCACCGTCGTGTTTTAATGAATCTTCGTCTTTGTTACCTATCGCTAATGCTGACGTTTATCTCTGTCCATTTCAGAGCTGGGCTGGTCGCAAACTTGTGACGTCTGGAGCATTGGCTGCATCCTGTTCGAGCTCTACCTGGGCTTCACTCTGTTCCAGACCCACGACAACCGCGAACATCTGGCCATGATGGAGCGCATCCTCGGCCCGGTGCCGTACAGGTGAGCAACCACCACACATCGCCGGCAGCGCACGGGTGCCGTGCATGTGAATTTAAATTGAGTCGCTGTAGTTTGAGTGCCGTGGTTGGCGTTGGTCCCACTGAGGTAGCCGCGTCGTGACGGGCGGGAGCGAGCAGCGGGTGGCGGTTATACGAGCGTCCGAGCGAACTCGGCTGCCGAATGCTCCGATCGGGCGATACAGGCTCATGTCGGCGAGCAGCCGCCCCAACTGGTCTTTGCATGTCAGATTATGCAGCCATTTTTATACCGCGGGCGCTGTTGCCATCGGGGAAGGCGGGGGTTGGATTTTTGCGGCTGCAGCCGCGGTGTTGTTTTGGCGACTGGTCAGCCGCACGTGTGCCGTGCAAATCCAACAAAGCCGGCCGGGGCCGGCCGTTGCATGGTAGCGCGGGATCAGTCTCGGCCTAAGTAGCTCTAGTTCGTGCCCTGGTGGTGGGTTTCTTTGGCACTGCCCGGCGCCAGCGCGATCGCCGATCCTGTTCTAATTGTCATTCTGCGGACGCGATTGAGTGCGTTGCGTGCGGCGCACCTCTCAGCGTCAAGTGCTGATCGCTGTTCAAAGCTCGCGTTAGCGAGAGAGCCCGGTCGTGAACAGCTCGATCACGCTGCCGCCGATCGCTTCATGTCCAATAAAAGCGGCGCGCGCGGGGCGGCGCGGCCCGGTGCAGTCACGCGGCGGCTGACCCGGACAGGGAGGTTACCGAGATTCGTCGTGGGACCGCCGTCCACCGTGGGAGAGTGAGTGCGACCGCCGCGACTTTCTCCTGACCCCAGCCCACCCCGCCTCTGTTGCAGGATGAGTCAAAAGACGAAAACCAAGTACTTCTACCGCGGCCGACTGGACTGGGACGAGAAGACCTCTGCGGCCCGCTACGTCCGGGAAAACTGCAAACCCCTAAAGGTGAGCAGCTGACGTCACGGCTTTCCGCCGCCCTGTCGCCTTCAGGGTTTACCAAAACGGCCGGCAACGGTAGTTCGACACGGCATCGTATTTTTTGTCGGCTATAAAGCACGCCGATTAATGGTGATCTCACTTTCAGTTAATGCTAAATCGTGACATTGAAATATTGAAGGGCAGGTCCGCTTGAAAACCACACGAAGCGCGGAAACTGCATGCAAACATATAAACGATTTCCTGAACTAAGGGCACTGGACACTTGGACATCGAACAACGTGGGTTGATTATATAATCACCAAAAGACATATCACAGACAAACAGGGCTTATGTTTTATGTTCGCTTTTTTTTGCCGGTCTGTCGTACCGTCACGGTCACGGCTAGGGAATCCATCCCTGTTCTTTGTGTTGTTTTGGTATTCACTGTCCACTCAGGGACTGACTAAAGCCGGTGTTTATCCGTGTTGACTGAAAGTTCCGCCGTTTGTGGGGAACGCTTACCGATGGCTTTATTAGAGCCCGCTACCGCCTGGAGTCCGTCCAAACACGGAAGGTCTCTCTGACATGTCTGCTGATTACTGAGACCAGACACAGACCGGGTACAAACACTGACTCAGCGCCATGCGGTGACAGCGGTCACACTCGTGATCACGGGTCATAGGTCGTAGGTCGTGCCCGGGCGCCGGGTCAGCGCCCTTCCCGTCTCACACGTGTCTGACTGTGTTCTCTGGTTCACAGCGCTACATGCAGTCGAGTGACGTGGAGCACGCCCAACTGTTTGATCTCATCCAAAGGATGCTCGAGTACGAGCCCACTCAGCGCATCAGCCTGCGGGACGCACTCAGGTAAGGAGATGAAACAGCATGCGTATTATAGGAGTTGTAGAAAGAGTTGAGAGATAAACGGAGGCATCGTGCATTTTAGTTGGAAAGAGAAAATACCTTTGCCTTGGGCTCAGAATGAAAAAGGAGCTTCAGTCTAAAGAAATACTAGTGCTTAGCTTTGTGTAATCTACCGACCAGCACGGTGTATCGGTAAATACTCGTCCGGCGTGTCAACATGAAAGAGAGAACCCGTGTTATAACCGCCGACTTAGGTCACTTTCACTAGCCGATGTCCACTCCGAGGTCTCGGCTCAGCCGGACGAGTGTGAGTCGCTCCGTCGCACACACGGGAGCCACTATGAACCTTATTTATGGACCTCCAATCAAATGCGCATTATGCATGCCGCACTATTGCATTACGGCTTCTGGACATGCCACCCGCTAATGCGGTCATATAGACGGGCCGGCATTTATTCATGAGCATGTGGCGCCGGGTCGCGGTGGCAGTTCGCCCCTGACAGGGGTCACGTCCCGTGTTTGGGTCTCACGTGCTCTCAACACCTGATGTTTCAGCGCAGACATCCTTTAACCGAACCGTTCTCTCTCTTACAGACATCCGTTCTTCCGCAAGCTGTCGCAGTCGTCCGACGCCAGCCACGACCGCAGTCTCAGCCTGTCGCGGTGAAACGCGGCGCTGTGCGCGCTCAGAAAGCTGTGACTCTCGTGTGCCGCATCGCTGCGGCTGACGGAGCTGCGCGCCCCGGCCGGTCGGGGTCGGGTCAGGTCGGGGCAGGTCAGGTCAGGTCAGACCAGGCCGGCCTACCATGAGAGGCTGTGTGAGCGACGCGGCGGGACAGCCGTGAGACGCGCCCGCTACAGTCCAGACCCGGCCGCCGCTGACGCAGAAGACGCGTCCGAACCCGGCCGGAGCCCGTGGGACGCGCGCCAGGCGGCCGGTCCGCCCATCTCGAGCTCGGAGCTCCTTGTGATCCAACAGTGTAGTCATGAACTGCAGTGCCGGCTCGCCCAGTGCGCCCGGGCGGGCCTGTGTATGTGTCTGTGGCCGCCACCGGGACAGATGTGGCATTAGTGATGTGTGCGCCGGACCGATGTGATCTACGGTCTCGAAGTTTGTGACTTTCATACAGCCGGCCCCGTGTTAACATGAAGTGACCCAGAGCGTTCCGGCCGGCACCGCGCGCCGGACAGGGGAGACGCGCGCGGCCAGCCGGGACGCGCCTAACCGGTGTACGGATAGCTTAGATCCAATGCAACACTCTGATTATTTATGATCGACTAACCGCGGCGGGCGCGCGGTCGGCGGCGGCACGTGTATCACGTGGCGCACGTGCCCCGTGCCGGCGCCGTCTGCCTTCGGTCGGCGCCGAGTGTCCCTGCGCCCCGGGCCACCGGAGCCGGGACAGCCCGCCTTCTAACTCGTGTCAGGTGCCTCGTGGAGCGCGTGCGTGTGCGTGTGTGATAAGGTCGGTGCTGAATTTCTACAATATACCTACCACTTACATCGTTGTTATATGCGTGCTAAATGGTCGGTTAAAACTACGGGAGCATCTCAATTTAGCTAAGTACGTGTACACATAAGATCAGATGCGATCGGTCGGGGATCAGAATGCGGCATACCGTGTTCCACTCAAGAAACTAACCCTCAACTTTCATCACCACGGTTAACGAAATAATTTGCACTCACTAAACAATATTTGCATAAGTATTACGTAACCATCTGGTGACTATTGGCACTGCATTTCTCACAAGTTACACCCGACCCATAAAGACATTTCTCACAAATAGATATTTATTATTACACAATGAGGGCGACGATACGCCGATGGCAGCGGCGCAGCGGTACAAAGGGTGCGGTCCCGGCGCCCTCTCGGGGGAGTTTTCCACCTCTGAGGGCACAGGGCACCGCCGAGGCAGGATACGGGTCGACCGCCGCCGCCAAAGCCGGACACCTTGCTTCTGATGACGGTGGTCCTGATGACTATTTCGCCGTCTTCCGATGAGGCTGCTGTGTGGACAATTTGACCCGTTTGGCGAGGGACGGTGGTGTCTGCTCCTGGCGGGCGGCGGTGACTGTGCAGGCGGGGGTGGGGCGGGCGGATCCGCCTCACAACACTGGACTGCCCGGGGCCGAGGCAGTGCCGCCGGGTGCCAGCGTCGGTGGTCTTCGACGGGTCTGAAATGACCTCTTCTGCTGGCGACGAGACACTGCGAACAGTACGGCACGTTCAGACACCCTGTTCTGTCCGTCCTGACCTGACCGACCCGGCCAGGTTAGGACAAGAAAGTCTGATTCACTATTTTCAGTCCACTGAATGGAGAGAAAAGACACCACCACTACAATCTGGAGCCGCTGCCGCACACAACCTCGGAACATGAACGTAGAAACAGCCGCGGCCCAACAGGTTACAGAAATAACACACAATCACGCGCCAGTGAGAATAAAACTCTCACATAGACGGATCATACAGAGATATGGCGCGTTTGTTCACGTCAGGTACGATGCACAATGACTAGCTCACTGCAGTGTTTAGCAAAATTACGGCTTTTTAGATCCATAGTATGCCATCCTAGTATGCAGCATCATATCATTACTTAACATGGCACCCGTTGACAAAAGTACACATACAGCAGAAGCTCTTAGAGGTCACCAAATTCATGAGGCTAATAGAAAATGCGTGCAGGAATGCATGATCCATGACAAGCCAGACCGGACGCGGAGCAAAAAGCAAATAGCAAATACCATGGCGTATGTACAAAGCATCGACCCGACGACCTAAATCGTGTTCACACAGGCTTCCCAAAAAGTT